AAGCTCTTCCTTACCGTACAACACATAGCAAAACACTTGCCTCTGTCATTTCTGTGGCACTTATTTCTGATATTTGTGTGTCCATCTATCTGTCTCCATCTAGGTGAGTTCTTAAAAGAGAAATTATAACTTACTGTGTGTGCTCTCTGGCACACTATGCAAAGGGAGGGGCATGTCTTTGTCCCTTAAATGGTAGCAGCCTTAGTGCATGTTCATCTACTTTTTAATTAGGCAGACCAGGGAGTTCCTTCTCTGCCAGAGGAGGTCCCAAGGGCATGGGGAACCTGTCTCCGCTCCTGTAACCGGAGCTTTCCTCCTGCAGCACTGTAACGGTGTTGACTGGCGTCAGAAGCTAGACTCTCAGCGAGGAGCCGTCATTGCCACCGAGTTAAAGAACAACAGCTACAAGCTGGCCCGATGGACCTGCTGTGCTTTGCTGGCCGGATCTGAGTACCTCAAGCTCGGGTGAGATTGCTGTCCTGAATAGTGAGCTGATCGTCTGGACAAGCCTTTGCCTCCCTTTTCCACTTGGGACTAGCAGCAGACTAAGTGTCACGATTTAGTTGACATTTGACCCTGAGTGTTGCTGTCTCTCTGCTCCAGCCACTGATGTCCTTTCCTCCCACTAGTTATGTGTCTCGATACCACGTGAAAGACTCTTCACGCCATGTCATCCTGGGCACCCAGCAGTTCAAGCCCAATGAGTTTGCCAGCCAGATCAACCTAAGTGTGGAGAACGCCTGGGGCATTCTGCGCTGTGTCATCGACATCTGCATGAAGCTGGAGGAAGGCAAATACCTCATCCTCAAGGACCCCAACAAGCAGGTTATCCGTGTCTACAGCCTGCCTGATGGTACCTTTAGCTCTGATGAAGATGATGAGGAGGAGGAGGAGGAAGAAGAGGAAGAAGAAGGTATGTAACAAACCCCTTAACTAGGGTCTGTGGGCTAGCATGGAAGCAAGTTCCATAACCACCAGCATCCTTAATTTGGTAAGACTTTCTGAGAATTCCTTAATACTTAGGTTTGGGGAAGCATTCACTTTGGTTCTAAGAGCTTCCAGAGGCTTTGGATCACAGGAAGAGGTGGTGGAGGTGGTCTCTTAGAAAAGTGGCTAGGTTGAGGCAGAACCATCTGGAGAAAGGCAGTGGAGTCCCTGAAGGCTGTCTCTTCACTTCACCACTTGTGACTGAGGGAGACATCTGTCTGCCCTGTAAGGATCTGGAAAGCATAACATGTGAGTGGTGTTAAAAATTCACATACAACATAGCTCACTTCTCTTAACATTTTTTGTGTCTTTCAGAGGAAGAAACTTAAACAGTGATGTGGAGCCCAGAAGGGCTTTTGGAGTGTTTTGACTATTCTCCAACGTTTGACAGATAAAATAAAGTATAAATCCGTTTAATCATTTTCCTTGATCATATGTGTACATTAACAGTTTACAGTCTTTCTTCCTCCAAGCAGCCTTTGGGAGAGGGGGAATGAGGTTCAGCAATTTCTACCTGGGTTTCATCATTTATTCTTGAGCATCATTAGTTTTATATTCCTTTTAAGTGGATGGATGACCTAATTTTTTGTTGTTGTTGTTCTTAAAACTCCTTAAAATTATCCTTTTTTTTTTTTTAAAGCCAGGGTCTCACTACATCACCCTGGGTAGAGTGCCATGGTGTCATAACTCATAGCAACTTCAAACTCTTGGGCTTAAGCAATTCTCTTGCTCTAGCCTTCCAAGTAGCTAGAGCTACGCCCACCACAACACCTGGCTAGAGATGGGGTCTCCCTCTTGCTCAGGCTGATCTCAAACTCCTGAGCTCGAGTGATTCACCTGCCTCAGCCTCCCAGAGTGCTAGGATTACAGCCATGAGCCACTGTACCTGGCCCGAAATTATCCTTTCATGGGTAGTATTGTCAGTTGTGAGGTACCTGTGGAGGTCCCCATAAGAAGTCCATTTCCACAAACATGCTACATGCTGGCTGCGTGTTGACATTAAAGAGGTCACTGTTTCTAAGGACTTATAAAGCATGAAGTAGACATGGCGAGGTAGGGGTTCTGCTCCTAAGGAAGACTGCCTCAGAAGACCTCAGTGGACGTTCCACTGGGTGGTGACATTGTAAATTGTGGACAGGTTTGGCTTGGGCTGGTGACAGAATCTCAAGCCAGCACCCACAAAGCAAAGTGTCATAAATAAGAATTCTAGATGTTCAGGATGTGTAAACTTTTATAAATGGACACCTTGTGAAGTAATTAACCCTGCCAAGTACAAGGTATACTAAGTTTTCTATTAATATCTGACCCTCGGCTGGGAGCCTATGGCTCAAGCAACTAGAGCACCAGCCACATACACCTGAGCTGGTGGGTTCCAATCCAGCCCAGGCCTGCCAAACAGTGACAGCTACAACCTAAAGATAGCTGGGCATTGTGGCAGGCACCTGTAGTCCCAGCTACTTGGGAGGCAGAAGCAGGAGAATCGCTTGAGCCCTGGAGTTGGAGGTTACTGTGAGCTGTGATACCACAGCACTACCCAAGGTGATGCCTTGAGGCTCTGTCTCAAAATATATATATATATACACACACACATATATGACCCTCATACCAAACTGTAATGCCAGCGGGAGTAATACCCATCATATAGATGAGAAAGCAGGCAAGGCTTCTGAAAAACATTCCTAATGTACAGATTCAATCAAACCAATTGACCCTCAGAGACCAAGCAAATTCTGTTGAGCTTTTGTCAGATACTGGAAAGAGCAGAAAATGTGCTGGGGGGTTTTCTATGTAGATAGTGTTTAAAAATCCACATCAAAGTGTGTGGCCACTACTAGGGGCTTGCATTGGGAGCAGTGTTCACCAAACCACTTCTGGCAAGCCCATGGCCCAGTCCATTAGGATTGACTGAAATAAGTGGAAGTGACTTCAGACTCATTCTCTTAAAAATAATTGTGCATCCTCTTCCACTGCTATTATCTGTCCTGCATGGGGCTGTGGAGTTGGCTGAGAATCTCAAGACCAACAGCCTTCTGTTGTCTACAATCCAGGCATGTTCAGCCTGGTCTCAGGGCCCTGCCACACTTAACCAGTCCTGTCTGATTTCCCACTACTGTATTCACCAAATAAGACTGCCAACTATTTTAAGTATTTGCCAGTACCAATTTTCATAATCTTCATACCCTGAGGCCTTGAGGCCACATGTGGCCTTCTGGATCCTTAAATGTGTCCTTTTGACTGAACCCACCCCTCTGGTTCTAATGTTTGTTCAAGAAATACTTACTTTGGCTCGGTGCCTATAGCTCAACTGGCTAAGGTGCCAGCCATGTACACCTAAGGTGGCAGGTTCGAATCCCCAGCCCGGACCCGCCAAACTACAATGATGGCTGCAACCAAAAAATAGCCGGGCGTTGTGGCGGGCGCCTGTGGTCCCAGCTACTTGGGAGGCAGAGGCAGGAGACTCGCTTGAGCCCAGGAGTTGGAGGTTGCTGTGAGCTGTAATGCCATGGCACTCTACCCAGGGGGACAGCTTGAGGCTCCGTCTCAAAAAAAAAAAAAAAAAAGAAATACTTTCCTGCACGTCATACTGGGCAGGAGGGAAAATGTTTACCGAGGAACTAACGTATGCCAAATACTGGACAATTTCTGCTCAAATGGAGCTTTTCTTTGGTGTTGATACAGGATGTGAAAAAAACAGATAAATAGCATTTCTTTGTGAGAACTTTGGCCTGAAGGGTCAGGGAAGTTTTCTTAGAAGTCCCCAGCTACCATCTTTAATGAAAAGCTCCATCCATGCAAAGTTGTGAGACCACAAAGTTCTGCCTTCAAGCGACTTTGGCTCATTTCACTGGATTCCGTGACACCTGTCGAATGTTCCTGTACTTCCCCCATAAATCTTCTGCCCACGTTCTTCTCATGCAGGGCCCACATGCCACCCCTGGGACACCAATCTTGATCCAGTTTTATCATCATCCGCGCACTATTCATGTTGCCTCCACTGAGTTTTAATTCCAGGCCCCTGTGGTTGGTTTGGTTTGTTTTGAGACAGCCTCACTTTGTCATCCTGGGTAGATTGCCAACGCATCCTAGCTCACAGTAACCTCAAACTCCTGGGCTAAAGCAATCCTCCTGCCTCAGCCTCCCAAGTAGCTGGGACTACAGCTGCCACCACAACACCCAACTAGTTTTTCTATTTTTAGTAGAGACAGGGTCTCACTCTTGCTCAGTCTGGTCTCAAAGTCCTGAGCTGAAGCGATCCTCCCGCCCCTCCCAGAGCGCTAGGATTACAGGCCTGAGCCACCTTACCCAGCCTAGGCTCCATTTCTTCTATGCTCTTAATTCACTTAACCCCATGCCTCCATTTGACCAGTCAGCTACCAACTATTGGTAACAGTATCCCTCACCCAGTCCTGGTGGGTGGAAGATCAAGTCAGTGGGGTATGTTACTTAGTAAACACTGAATCACTGTAGCAAACACTCCTTATAAATAATTGGTTTATCTGTCCGGCTTCACTACCCTCGTTTTCAGTCCCACAAAACCGAGAGGGCCAACTAATGTTAGTGTTTGGCTACATAAATAGGGGAATATAAAACCTGAGATCGTCTCCAAAAATTCCGCGCTCCCCACCCTCACACGCAGAGAGGCACAGTTTAAAAGGAGGGTCCATGCGGGTCCCCGGGCTGTCCCTTCAGCACCTCCGCCTCGCAAGAGCGCACCACCCCAGGCCCCTCTGCCCGCCTCACTGGCCGCACCCGCAGCACGTGCGCGCTTCTCCCGCGTCCCGGCCGGGAGCCAAGCCCGCCGGCAGGTCCCGGCGTGCTGCGCGCCGCGCACGTGACCCGCCCCCCCCCCCTGGCCCGCGCGGGAGGGGCGGGACCGCCGCCGGGGCGCCAACGAGCCGAGCACGACCTCACTCGGCAGCGCGCTGCGGTCGGAGCACCAAGGAGGCTCGAGCTCTGCTGAGGGGCCGGCCGGCGGCGGGGAAGGCCAGAGCCGCGGGCTTCGGCACCGCGCAGGCGCGGTCAGCCGACTCCGGAGCGCGCGGCTGCGGTGGGCGGGCGGCAGGTGTGCCGGGGCATCTTTGTCACGTGGCGGGAGAGGCTGGGGAGCGCGGGACCTGGCGGGGCGGGGCCAAGGCATGCAGGCCACACCTCCTCCAAGCTTGGGCTGCGGGCGGGGGCGTGGCGAAGAGAATTGGGTATCCCTCAAATTGGGGGTAAATTGGAGAACACCCTCTCCTTCCGCAGGGTGGAGGTCACCATGGTAATAGGAAGGGACTTGGCGCCTCTGGGAAGGGAGACCCCCAAAGGAGATGAGATGGTGGGGTTTGGGACGCCTGTGCGGCCCCAGCCCAGCTGGGAGAGATGGAGTTGGGGCAAATGAGCTCCGAGGTCCATAGGTTCTGGTCCTGGCTCTGCTGCAGACTGCTGTGAGCGCTCAGGCAAGCTCGCACCTATTGCCGTGGCTCGCGGAGAGGAAGGGCGTGCGCCTCGCTCGCCATCCAGGTGCGAGGCCTCACCCTCTGGTCTGCCACAGGATGGGCCTCTCCGCTGCCGCCCCGCTGTGGGGTCCCCCGGGGCTGCTGCTCACCATCGCCCTGCATGTGGCTCTATCCGCGCCCCCCGCCACGCCCTTGGCGCCCAGACCCCAGGACTACTGCGTCCTGGGCGCTGGGCCAGCGGGCCTGCAGATGGCCTACTTCCTGCAACGGGCTGGGCGCGACTACGCAGTATTCGAACGCGCCGCGGGTCCTGGCAGCTTCTTCAAGCGCTACCCCCGGCACCACAAGCTCATCAGCATCAACAAGCGGTTCACTGGCAAGGTCAATGCCGAGTTCAATCTCCGCCATGACTGGAACTCTCTGCTCAGCCACGACCCCCGGCTGCTCTTCAGACACTACTCGCGGACCTATTTCCCCGATGCCCACGACATGGTGCGCTATCTGGGCGATTTCGCAGACAGGCTGGGACTGCACGTGCTATACAACACCACCATTACCCATGTCACTCTGGACAGAGATCGACAGGCCTGGAATGGCCACTACTTCATCTTGACCGACCAGAAGGGCCAGGCTTACCAGTGCAGGTAAGGCACCAGTGCTGCAGCTCACCAGCCCGGGCCGGAGCTTCTCCTAGGCAAACCACACACCTTGCAGGCCAGTAGGTGTGGGAGGAATGGGGGAAACAACGCATTTTTGCCACTGCTTGCTCTCACTGAAATTCCGTACTTTGAGATTCAGTCAGCCACCATTTCCCAAAGGTATCTTAGAAAAACTGTCATCAAATATGTATGTTTGGAAAATACTAACAATTCCTCCCCCCCAGGACTTTCAGTCTTTACTATGTTCATTTTAACCGTGATGTTCCAGCATCAGGTAAAGTATTAAGCATGAACCCAGCTTATGTTCCCACAAAACCCTTTACATAGAACATCTATCTCTTGGAACTAGTGTTCCCCTAGGTATAATCAAGGGGTCAAGGGTCCAGCCTGTGTTAGACGGGCCCCCCTGGGATTTCAGAACTGAAGCAGTATGGGAAGTCCCAGAAGTGATACCTCCAGCTGTCAGATTTAGCTTCCTTTGGCTTGGGAGACAGCCTCAAACTTGGTTAATCTTCACAGGGACCTTTTGGGAGAGGTTCACTGATCCTCATTCAACAGATGAAGAACTGAGGCTCAGAGAAATTCAGTAACTGGTGCTATGTCACACAGCTAATAAGTGGTGTAGCTGCAATTTGAGGTCATTCCTGCTGGACTCCAAAGCCTGTGTTCTTTCTGCTGCACCAGCCTGCCTCTCCCTTCCTGCCTGGCAGCCTGGCACCTGGCTCCAGGCAGACACTCAGCCAGAGTTCTCATGCCTATTACCCCAGACCCAGCTGTGGCCTTGCCTGTTACAGCCCAGGGAAAGAATGGTTATCCCAACTTGTACTCTTGCATTTTAGGCAGCTGTGCTACTGTGGAGCAGAACAGACAAGGGTTAGAGAACCAAGATCAATTGTTTTTTTACACCCTGTGGTCAAATCGTTCTTCTGCAAGCTGGTAGAATCCAACTCCCCAGCTGCCCACCACTGGATCATAATCCACACCAATATAAAGAGCAGGACTTTGGAATCAGCCCTATCTGTGTTCGGATTCTGGCTCTGCTCCCCTGAGGAGCTATGGGGCTTTGGCCATGGACCGTGGAAAGCAGGCATATAACACCAACTCAAGGTTGCTTTGAGGAGTACATGACGTAAACAAATGCTTAGCACAGGGACTGGGACAGAATTACTGCTCAGTAGATATTTGCATCTGCTGGACAAGTCATAAAGGGAAAAGTAGAACATTAGGGTTCGTTTCCATCACCAAGGATGATGCTTGATCTGATTGCTGTGTTCAAAGATAAGTAAATTACTCAATTTCATACTGTCACCTTCATCTGAGTGGGAGAGTATTATTAATGCCTAATACAGGGCTGAGAAAAATGTGAAACCACTGGACTGCGAGGTCAGTGAGAGACAAGGGTGAGGTACCTGGGGTAAACTGGGATAGTCAGTAAAGAGATGAATAAATGAATGTCCTCCTCTTTTCTTTTAGGAGGGTTGTGTTGGGTGGGTCCAGAGAATGATTTTCACTTAGTGGTCTTATAGCTAAGAAATTAAGCCATCTTTCCTCTGTCCTCACATGCAGCGTCCTTCTCGTAGCCACTGGTTTGTCGGTCCCCAACCAAGTTAACTTCCCTGGCTCTGAGTACGTGGAGGGTTATGAGTCTGTGTCCGTGGACCCTGAGGACTTTGTGGGTCAGAATGTGCTGATCCTGGGCCGTGGGAACTCAGCCTTTGAGACGGCAGAGAACATCTTGGGCGTCACAAACTTCGTCCACATGCTGAGTCGCTCCCGGGTCCGGCTGTCCTGGGCCACCCACTATGTTGGAGACCTCAGGTATGCCACCACTCTGCTTGTGTACTCCACCATGAGCCCCTAAAGCCTTCCCTGACCCAGGCTGGACTCTGAACCTTGCTCCTTGGATTCTCTTTGGGCCCTAGAGCCATCAACAATGGCCTGCTGGACACCTACCAGCTGAAGTCCCTGGACGGGCTGCTGGAGTCTGACCTAAAAGATCTGGCCATCCTGAAGGACAGTGAAGGCAAGTTTCATGTCACTTTGAAATTCTTCCTGGAGGAAAACAACACCAACCAGAGTGCCGACTCCATCACCCTCCCCCAGGACAACAGTGACAACTTTGCCATGCGTGTGGCCTATGACCGGGTCATCCGCTGCCTGGGCTGGAACTTTGACTTCTCCATTTTCAATAAGTGAGTCCAAATAGGGGAGGAGCAAACCTCTCCTGACATCTCCAGCGGGGACAGAGTGGCCATTCAATAGGCCAGCATCAGGGCTTTTAAGACAATACCTTAAGAGCCTGTGGGTGCTGCCTGGTCTCCCTCTCAGGACACAAGCTCTGTCTACTGAGGGTCCCAGGTGGCCCTGAGGCCCTCTGTCCTGGGCTGCACCAGCAGGTCTTCATCTGCTTTAGGAGCCTCCACCTGTGAGACGGCAAAGCAGGCTCAGGCAGAGTATAGAGGCAAATTTGCTGGAAGGCAGGGTAGCTCAGCAGCTCAGAGCACAGGTGCTGGGGCCGCCTGAGCTGCTCCAATTACCAAATCTGGGAAAGTTCTTAACCATGCTATGCCCCAGTTTCTTCATCTCTAAAATGAGATTAACTCTGAATTTTTTTTCCAGACAGGGTCTCACTCTTGCTCAGGTTGGTCCTGAACTCCTGAGCTCAAGCTGTCCATCCGCTTGGCCTCCCAGAGTGCTAGGATTACAGGCATGAGCCACCAAGCCTGGTCTATAACTCTGAATATTACCTGTCATGTGTACATTATATAACCTAATGGTTTGTACCCTCAAATTAATCTGAAATTCTTCAAAAACAGATATGATAAAAGCAGCCATCAGGCTTTGATATCAAGCTCACACCTGTAATCCCAGAGCTTTGGGGGGCCAAGGTGGGAAGATTACTTGAAGTCAGGAGTTCAGAACCAGCCTGGGAAACATAGTGAGACTCACAGCAACCTCAAACTCCTGGGTTCAAGCAATCCTGCCTCAGCTTGAAGCATGGAGTAGCTTGAGTAGCTGGGACTACGGGTGCCTGCCACAGTGCCCAGCTAATTTTCCTACTTTTAGTCGAGATGGGGGTCTCTCTCTGTCTTGTTCAAGCTGGTCTCAAACTCCTAAGCTCAAGGAATCTTCCCGCCTCTGCCTCCCAGAGTGCTAGCATTATAGGCATGAGCCACCACATTTGGGCCCCACCAAATTTGGTAATTAGCCAGGTTTGGTGGCATGCATCTGTAGTCCCAGGTGCTTAGATGGCCAAGCCAGGAGGATCACTTTACTCCAGGAGTTACAGGCAGCAGTGAGCTGTGACTGCATTGCTGTACCTCCAGCCTGGGTGACAGAGTAAGACCCTGTCTCTTTAAGGAAGAAAAAAAAAAAAATCACCCAGTCTTTCACTTGTCTTCTGACCAGGGTATAAGAGAACAAGGGAAAGTTGGTAGGCCTGTTCAGACCTTTTTCTATCGGGTGACAGCAAGACCAGGTCTTAGTTCAGAACCCAGCCTTGGCTCAGGCTTAGATCCTGGCTCTGTCCCACCATGTCCTTGCCCTGAGCCTCAGTTACTTTATCTGTTGCATGGAGATGCTTATACTCACCTCCTCGGGTCATGGTGATGAGGAATATAAACCACTTAGTCGCAGGCCTAGGATAAATACTTCATACATAGCAGCTGTTTTTACTAACAGCCCTTTCCACACAGGTCTCTCAGACTCAACTCAGGGAATCCCCTGGACATGAAATACCCACTTATACGAGCTAACTACGAGTCCAGAGGAAGCCGGGGTCTCTTTATCCTGGGCACCGCCAGCCACTCAGTGGACTATAGGAAATCTGCCGGAGGCTTCATCCACGGATTCCGATACACAGGTGAGCCCAGCTAAGAGGCCTGCGGTCCCCAGACAGGACCATCATTGCTATCCACAGAGCTTGTAAACATACTCCAAATTTCCAGAAGCATCGAAAGATTGCTAATCAGTAGTTGATTGTCACATATTCCCTATCTGGGTAGATGACAAGTGGTCTGAGGATATGTCTAGAAAGGTATCAGATAAAATACAAAAAGTGGATACATCTGGGGGGTGGTGTGTTACATGCATAGCACTGTGTAGGTTAAGCTCCTTGTATTGGCAAGAACGCCAAGCAGGAAGGACACCTACCTGGGTTCCTCTCCTGATGGATGGTCTCAGAGGTGAAGCTTTAAGCCTCTATTGTGATATTCCTAACATCAGAGATATAAGCTATAAGCAAGGTGAACTGTCCACCATCATGGGACTGTCGGCAGCGCTAAATGAGGCAGCTCCTGGGCACACACACACACACTCTTTGGATACTGATAGATTTCAGTAAAAATTGCAACTGGATGGTGGCACCTGTGGCTCAATAGGGTAGGGCCCTGGCCCCATATGCCGGACGTGGCAGATTCAAACCCAGACCTGGCCAAAAACTATAAAAAAAAAAAAAGAAAAAATTGCAACTGGATTATATCAGTTTTCTTTTTTTTTTTTTTT